ACTGAGTGCATGGAACCATTCTTCGAGCCTAGCACGACCACAAGGACCGTACATCCCGTCCCCTCCAGCAACGACCAACTGTCTACTGGAGCCAGTATGGACGAGGTAGTGGGTAATAGACAGGTAGGCACCTTGTCAACATGCACATCAAGCGCAGCCACACCGGGGATATCAAGCAACAGCCAATCACCAGGAACGACAAGATGAAATAAAACAAATCCAATAATTCATACAGATACGGTGGCATAACTCTTCGCTAAATTAGCATAAGAATTAAGTGTAAATTGGTTTAGCCCAACTGCGGTGAAGAAGCATCAAGAATGCAACATCAGCCTCAGCTTGGGGCACACTAACACATACACATACATATATACAGACACAGAAATCTAATATGTTACTGGTTAACGTGCTGTATTTTATACAATTACCGACCAGAATAATGTCACAACCTACAAATTTTCACACTACCCTGCATCCACACTAACGCAAACGGTTGCCACTTCACCCTTGATGTTTTCCTCACGTGTACTTTCTCCATGTATGCGTGCAACACAATGTGCCAACTGCAAAAAAGTGTCTGTAAAACTTTGATCATGCATGATAAGTTGTGTTTCGATGCCACCGATAATAAACTATTTATTTATTTATTTATAATTAAAAGCCAGTGAAATTTTTAGGTCACGTAAACGAAGGACTTGTATGAAGCATATACAATGACACTGTGATCAAGAAGTAATTAAGAAAAGTTATGAAAGGGAAGGAAAATAATTTCATACATGTATACTACGTATATAACCATGACTACGTATTACTGGGTATTCCTGCGGACGTCAAGGTTGCATATTAAGGCCATGTTAATGTGTCATGGTGTCGCATTAATGTGTATAATTTATCGGACCCATGGTTCGCGTTAATTGCTTGCATGAGCAATGCATGGAAAAGTAATATAAGTACCATAGCCGTAGCGTCGTCAGCACCCATGAAACTGTGACGCATGGGATGTTTTAAAAATCGCAAACGGAAGCTGTGTAATAAGGCTCTTCATGTCCCATAGGGAAACTTTATTATGTCCGGGATTGAAACGTATGACATTGGCTGCACGAGCTTCCGTGAATGTTGGTTAATTGCCACAATTACGTCCCGTGAAATGTGCGATTATATTGCCAATAAGGAAACAAGATGCATACAGGAAACACGGTGGCTTCTACAAATCAAATCAAAAGAAAGTGCAGTGGTGCACATGCAGTTAGTAATGGTAGTGGCTTCTGGACATGAAGGCTTAATGGAGGGTTCCACACAAAGACATGGTTGGTTTCTGCATGGATGCGTCTGGACTTCTGTTAGCCGTTAGACAGGACAATGGGGTGAATATTCTTGAGTTCACGGTCTTAGAGCAGGTGACCGCATACGGCGGTAATGTGCTCATAGAAACTCAGCTGTGCTGCACGAGGTTTTTGAGAATGCAGTGGTATCCATTTGTCACTAAGAGAAACAGTGCTGTGCACTGATTTTCGGACAGGCGGTAGATGCAACGCATGTAAATATCCGGTTACTGCTTTGTTATTAATAAGTTTGCACAGCTGCAATGGATTACGCGACGTGGTAGTTGTCATGCATGAACGATAACTGCGAAGGCAACAATGATACGTGGTAACGTGCTAGCGGATAAGCAGCGGTGGATGTATATGGTTCCGGAGATTGAGAAACCGGATGCTCTAAAGGTGACCGACGTTTAAACCATTCAGAAATATTCCCCACCAGCTGAGTGAGCGTGTATATAGCTCGGAACCCACCAAAGGTGAACACTAAGAAATGGTTTCGCCAGCCTCATAAGAGACCACCGTGACAGTTCAAAATCAATGTCAACCGGATATGGGATAAAATAAGGCGTTAGGCAGTATAAACATGTAATTTTGTTGAAAAGTAGTGTTACGTGTAAACAACTGGTGTGTAAAATACGCGGTAGTGAATAGACGCATGGCATTCTGCATTAGTCTGCAAGCGACGGGACGGTCAGAGCAGTCGTGTATGCGAAGGGAATATGTGCGCGTTCTAAAAGCCACATGTGAACGACTAATACACTAACCTTAGGTGCGACGATGTATTTATCCGGTGGCACATGTTAGGTGGAGGCAGACAAGTAGTGGCGGATCGCTTAAGTAGGCACCACGGATAGACAGGGGTTCTGAAAGCAAAAAGTAAACAAGCAATACACTTACCGGAGGTGCAACGGAGTATATAGGCGGCAACACATGTTACGTGTAGGAAAACGAGTAGCGGCGGAGCACTCAAGTAAGTATCACGGATAGAGTGGCGTTCTAAAAGCCACATATTAAGAGCCGATATATTTACGGGTGAAACGGAGTGGATAGTGGCGGAAAAGGTTGCCTGGAGGCAAAGCAGTACTTGTGGATCACCCAAATGGGCATCACGGATAGACAGGACTTCTAAAAGCCCCATTTGAACAGGGAATACACTTACCGGACGTGCAATGGAATAGATAGCGGCGGCACATGTTAACTGGAGGCAGACCGGCAGTGGCGGATCAGTCATCCAGGCAGCACGTAAACACAGGAGTTTAAAAGCAAATTGTTAACAGCCAATACACTTACCGGAGGTACAACCGAGTATATATACGGCGGTAAAGGTTACATGGAGGAATACCATTAATGACGGATTTATCATGTACTCATCACGGATAAACAGTAGTCCTAAAAGCCACTTATTAAGAGCCAATACACTTACCGGAGGTGCAACAGAATAGACAGCGGCGGCAAAGGTTACGTGGAGGCAAATCAGTAGTTGCGGATCACCCATATAGGCAGTACGGATAGACAGCAGTTCTAAAAGTTACGTGTGAATAGCCGATAGACTTACCGGAGTTGCAACGGAGTAGGTAGCGGCAGCAAAGGTTACGTGGAGGCTGACAAGCAATGTCGGATCAGTCAAGTAGGCAGCACAGATAGACAGGTATTCTGCAAATCACTTGTTAAGAGCCGATAGACTTACCGGATGGATTGCTGACTGCCATCCAACATAACGCGCTCCCCAACCTTTGCCGATATTTCAACGGAGCCCGCCGCAATGATTTGCACCTCTTTCTCACACTGAGTTTCCAATGAACATAGTACTTTTACAGTGCACAGCGGTATACTTCCTGAACACTTCGAGATGTCGCAGCGAAGGTTGCAATCCAATCTAGCTGAGATAACATTCCAGAAAACACACAAAATATCCAGCACTTTCAGATATTCGTCTGAGCTGAGACTTTGGACGTTCACATCGATTTCCGCCAGCACCTCTTGCAATCCTTCAATCTTTATGCGCCTGTCTATAACACTGTGTGCATGTCCAACTGCGTAGACCGTTTCAGATTGACCGCTATCCAAGTTCTCGGACGTTTCAGATTGTACCACTTGGTCAAACAAACATCGACGTCCTTGAAAAACATCGTGGTCATTCCAATTCTCCTCCGCCGTCACGTGCGATATGCGACCGCAAGGCATACGCCAATGGCGATTAAAAGAACAGTGACAGTTACTGCCTTGGTCAATGTAAACGCGGCACACAGCGGACCCGGATTCCGACACCACCCGGTACCTCCCATCCGGTGCGACACCGACCATTGTCGTGCGCTGAAAATACTTCATCACCCTTTCGTGAGCATATGCAGTCAATCTGCTTAAAAGTTCAGACACCACGGATCCATCGCCACGTACTGCATTACTTCGCATGCATTCGGTAGCTACCTGAGTGCTATGACGATCCGCCGTGCCTTTAGCACGATTAACCATCACCTCGAAAAGCACCCGTAAGGAGGAACACTCGCTCAAAGTGCGTTTAAAGTGCATATTTTCATTCTCCACTCCATTAGTGGAATTGCATCCAAACATCATGACATGCCGTAATTGATGCGCCGCCCAGCATCTCCACCAAGGCATCCATGTTCTACGGAAATACTCAAAGTATTCCGTACTTCTCAGCCGAATGGTTTCCAGAATTCCGCGGTAACGCGTTTCCTTAGGCGTGAATACCAGGTTCCTTAGCAAACGGATCAGAAAAGTCTTTTCCGCTGGGTCCGCAACTGACACCTGACTGAACCGTCTGTTTATGTCCCCTAACCTGTGAACACGGCACAACACCATGCAAGCCTCCGGATACACCTCCCTGAAAGCGTTGCTTTGTTGCGCGCATTTGTCTACCGCAATTGTTCCCACGGATGCCGTGCTTGAAACCATTGCACGCATGGCTTTTACTGCTTCCAAATAATTCTCCATCGTCTCATTTAGTAACAAGGCGTAGAAGAATGATATCCCCATCCCCGTGACGTCAAGGAACGTGCAATGCCATAGGATGTAATCGCCGTAATTAATCTGATGCGTAGAATCTGCCTGTATAACTTCGTTTAATCGTGCAAACAACCTCCGGCTGCACGCAGGTACGAAGAACAGGAATCGCACCTCCAGCTGGCGTGCTATACTTGCGCGTCTTTTACGTGAAATTCTCGTGAAGAAAAGTGTTAGGATTGACACTTTTAACGAAACTTGACCGTAGTCAAATTATTCTTTTGGAAGATAGGATATGCAAGTGCGTGGACTGCTGGAAGACTGTCACGCTTCCTCAGCGTACCTACTGCGTTGCAAAACTTCTGTCTAACTCTGACTGCGAAACTCCTTTTTCATCTCTGTGTCTGCCCGGATCTTGGTACTCTACGCCCAAGGGAAAAAGAAGTCTCCTCCACAACCTTGGCGGGAACACTGTTGCTCGTCGGTCCAAGTAATCCAGATCAGAGTCAAAGCCTGATCACCTCTTCCTCAGGGGGTGCACTGCTAACGCAGAGTAGTGTCTACAAAAACCAGCTGGATGGAACTAAGCCAAAAATAAAGATGAGGACCTATGCTGCTGTAGCGGGCATAAACGCTGCAGAAACATCTGCCATGAACCCGGTCAAAAGACGGACGAAAAAATTAGTTTCAAGGCCTAAAGCAACTTGTAACCCAATGCAACTGGAGCTCATTATTGACATAGTTACGCAACTTGAAGGGATCATTAAAGAAAAGCCAGTCCCACAAAAGCCAAGTCTTTCAGGAGGAAACAAAGCACCTCGTGAGAGTGGCTTACTAATTCCGAATGCTCCTGAATCGGACAAAGAATCATCAGCTGAAAAAATTCTTGACGACCAGACTTTTTTTAAGCGGATGGTATCCATTCTGTTAGGTAAAGTTGAGCAGGATATCAACATTGTCTCTGCTTCTCGTCTAGGTAGAAATCAGCATAATCCATCCAAGACTCGCTCGCTAAATGACGTCTGTCAGGATGAGGATGAATGTCGCCGCATCCTCAGGCGTACCTCGCGTCACAAAGGAGAAACCTTCCTTGTTCTAAAAGGCCTTTCCCAAGAAGATAGAGTCAGAATGAGATAAGCCGTCAATGAACTGCGAACTCGTCGAGCGAACGGCGAAACTGGTCTCCACATTGTGGATTATCGTGTTGTTCAGAAAACCCAGAGAACCTGCTGGAAGCCAGTTCCTCTGCTACCCAGCCCCCATGTCTAAATAGCCGTTTGCGAGTGATATTTGCCAATGTACGCAGCCATAAAATTAAGCACGACGAGATTCCTCTTCTCATTACTGAGTATCAGCCAGATTTACTGGCTTTCACCGAGACCTGGTTATCAACAGAGATCCAGGACGCTGAGATTAACATGTCAGGATATAAATTCCCACCAGCACATCGCTCCGGTGGGCAGACTGAGGGTGGATTAATTCTCTACTCGAGGTCCTGCCTCAAGCTACACGTTATCGGAGCTCCGTGCGACAATGACGGTGGATCATAGATACTGCGGTGCCGAATTCATGACGGCTATCAGCTGCACACGGTCTGTGTGGCTTAAAGAGCTCCACTAAGCTCAGGCGTCCGTCTAGTACAGTTGGTAAAAATCAATGGTCGGGGAAGGAACTGTCTGTCAGTGTCCACTGGAACCTCCTGCACTGTGATCATTACCAAGATTTCTTCGTGGCTAGCTTTCTCGATGTTATTCACGAATGCAATCTGATCCAGTACATCTCACCGCCAACACGGATGATACTGGGTCAAACATCATCATCATACTACACGTTAGCTGGAGGTGGGGAGCACCTCTGCTACTGTGCCGCAATACATAGAAAAAAGGAGAGAAAGAAAGCAACTGGTGCGAGCCGGCTGAGCTACCGGTAACGGATGGGCATCGTTCCGGTAAGCTATCATCCGGCTGCTGTGCATCAAAAAAATTACTATGCAAAATTATATAAGGCTAAATAATGAGATCGTGGTTGGAGGGGGAGGCTAAGAGGGATGGGGTGGGACAAAGAAACTCACACACGAACGCCACTGAGGTCGGCTCTTAGCCATATCAGCAAGTGTGTCCAACCAAACGTGCTCATCGTCTTTCGGACCCCAACCAGAGAGCCGAGACGCTCCAACCGAGGCCAGCTCAGAAGTGAGGGCCTTCATTCTTCTCGACCAAGTCATCGCTTGGCCACCCCTCATATTCTTCCATCCACACCCCCGGTGCGCAAACAACACACGTCGCAGAAGTCATTGGGCTGGCATGCGTAACACGTGGCCGAGCCATCGGAGCCTGATGCGTGAAATAACGGTGCTGAGCGGTTCAGTTCCTTTTCCAGTGCCGTAAACGAGGCGTCGAACACGCTCGTTGCTCACGCGCTGTTCCCACCAGATGTGAGCTAAATTACGAAGGCACCGGTGGTCGAAGGTAACTAGCCTCTTCAGGTCCGCTGCTCTAAGCGGCCAGGTTTCACAACCGTACAGTAAGGTCGAACGTACCGCTGCATTGTACACTCTACCCTTCATGGCGAGAGTGATGTCGCGCCGCCGCCATAAGTGGCGAAGGTTAGCAAAAGCGCCCCGAGCTCTTGCTATACGATTCGTGATCTCACCTTCAATCCCACGGGCGCTGATACAACTTCCCAGGTAGTTGAATTTTGAAAGACTTCTAGCTGATCCCCACCAACGGTCAGCGTAGGAAGCGTTCCAGACCAATCTTGGAGAAATGCTTTGCCCTTCGAGGGTGCAAAGCAAAGCCCGAAGTGACGGACAGCTAGTGCTAATCTGTCCAGTGCCGCTTGGCACGTTTGTGAGCTGTCACAGATCAGGGCAATACCATCAGCATACTCTAAGTCAATAAGTCGTTCTCCTGGGAGTAGCTCCACACCTTCTAACTCGTGTCCTGTAAACGCGATTTCCATGACTTCGTCAACAGCGGAGTTGAAGAGGAAAGGTGACAGCGGGCGTCCTTGTCTCACGCCGCTGGAGATATTAAAGGGCGACGACAACTTGCCGTAAGCCCTCACTCTGTCCGAGCTACGCGCATATAATGCTCGGATAATATTCACATATTTCTCAGGTACACCTTTCCTGAGTAGACAGTCCCAAAGTGCATACCTGTCCACCGAATCGAATGCACCTTTGATATCGAGGAACACGACAACGGTGGGCCGCCAATATATGTGACGGTGCTCCAACAACTGACGCAAGGTGAAGATGTGGTCAATGCAGCTACGTCCTCGACGAAATCCAGCTTGCTCTTCACGAATCTGGCTTTCACGAGTGCCAGTCGGTCTGTGAAGGATGACAGAGGCAAGCAATTTGGAGGCGATTGAGATCAGACTGATTCCTCCATGGCTACCGCATTCCGATCGCGAGTCTCCCTTGAAAATTGGGACTATGACGGAGCGGCTCCAATCGGTTGGGACAGTTTCCTGCTCCCACAGTTTGACTAGTAACTCGTGTAAAGCATCCACAAGAGCAGGTCCCCCAAATTTGAAGAGGGCTGGGGGAAGGTCATCAGGTCCCGCGGCTTTATTTAACTTCAACAGTTTGATCTCACGTTCGACTTCTGAGCGAGAGGGTGGATCTAAATGGACAGCCCACGGAGCGGGGCGATCAATGGCCGGCGAGAAATCTAACCATTCCGACCTATTAAATTGCCTTTTAAAGTGCTCAGCCCAATGCTCTAAGCTAGTGTGAGAAGGAGATACAGTATGTTTGGTGTTTTACCCAGTTTGAGGAAAGATGAGTTTTTTTGACTCTTTCCTCAAACTGGGTCAAACACCAAACCTACTGTATCTCCTTCTCACACTAGCGATCTCTGATGTCCAAGGCCTGTAGGTTCTACAACCACTCGGCCGGAGTAACCACTCTACAATATCCTTTTGGGAATGCCGCCTTGCCATACATGATCAGTGGACACGCCGTCGCAAATTCTGGCGTGTTGTTCCATCCAGATTACAAGAAGTGGCAAGCACCACAGACTGGACTATTCCACAGTCCCTGAACCTTGATGAAGCATGGAACTTACTACGCCGGAAGATGATGTCGGTCATCGGAAAAGTTGTTCCTATCACCAAGGGCAGGCCTCTCCCCAAAGGCCCCCTCTGGATCGACCGAGAGGTGAGATCTCAGATGAACAGACGACCCAAACTGTGGGACATATTCAAGTCAACACAGGTAATGTTAGATTACTCGAAGTACAAAGTGATCAGAAATCTGTGCACTCTAAGAAAGCGCAGGAAACGATCACAGTACGAACATAGCCTAGTCATGCAAACACGAACCTGTCCAAAGAAGCTGTTCTCGTATCTGAAACGAAACACTAATGCTGGCAGTGGTATCCCTGCTCTATCCTGTCAGGAAGAGGACACAGTGCTCTACGAAGATGATGAGAAGGCTCAACTACTAGCCTCGCCTTACATCTCGATCTACTCCGTGAAACCGTCACTACCCAGTGACGATCTGACAACGCATTACCATCCTCTCGAGTATGTCGAAAGCAATCCCGAGATAGTCAAGAGACTCTTTCGTGAATTGAACCCTAACTTCGCACGGGGCCCTGATAGACTTCACCCGTTACTCCTCAAGATGGTAGCAGAATACATTGCTGATATGATACAACAAGTTTTCCGGCGTTCTCTTGCAGATGGGCGCCTACCACCTGACTGGAAAGTAGGAATTGTAATGTCTAAATACAAAGGCGGGAACCGGCACGATCCTACAAACTATCGATCGATATGCCTGACGTCTGTGATTTGCGAGCTCATGGAACGGATCGTCAAGCGCCCCCTCCAAACCCATTGCGAAAGCCGGTGCTTCATCTCCCCCGCTCAGTACGGATTCCGCATGGCTCGCTCTTGCACTTCTAATCTGCTTGTTGCCAGAGAAGCATGGGTCAAAACGATGGACAATCAGAGACACCTAGATGTTAGCTACATTGACTTCAGCAAGGCATTTGACAATTTTCCACACAAACGACTTCTGCTCAAACCCCAGGGAAATGGCATCACCGGGAACGTCCTTGCATGGGTTGCGGACTTCTTGAGAGATCGTACTCTTCAAGTGAAGGTGAACCAAATGCTGTCTGGCTCTGTGTCTATGACTAACGGTGTCATACAATGCTCTGTCCTTGGACCGGAACTTTTCAAACTCTACATTAAGGATCTCCATGCATTTCTTCAACCCGATTGCTTAGTCTACGCTGATGATCTCAAGTTAGGGTCAAAAGTAGCAGATATTGAGGACGCGGACAGACTCCAAACGGCGCTGGATCAGCTGCACCATTGGTCCAGCTACCCGTTAACAACGAAAAATGTGCTCTTCTTCCGATTGGTAACCCGGATTCATTCGGTGTATAACACATTGATGGATATCTTCTCAAGAATGTTCTGCAGGAGGATCTGGGGGTTATCGTGTCATATGATTTTAAAACTTCCCAAGACACACTGAGAAAGATCGCGATCGCAAACAGGATGCTCTGTGCTATACGGAGATCGTTCTTCCGTATCACTCCAGCAACTTTCAGAACTCTGTTCACATCACATATCCGCCCGATATTGGAGTATGGGCTTGCAGCTACCTATCCTCTCTTAAAATCTGAATGCGACTTGCTAGAAAAAGTTCAAAGGCTTGGCTCGAAATCCGTCATGGAGCTTCGTGGTCTTGCTTACCCACTTCGACTCAGAAAGCTCAACATGTTCCCAGTGGATTATCGTCGGCGCCGTGGAGATCTTATCTACACCAGACGGATCGTAAGAGAACTTGGGAGTGAGGCACAAAAGCACTTTCAGCTCAACGTGGACGGCTCAACACGAGGCCACAAGTAGAAGTTGTACAAGAGCAGAATACTTCACGTCTGTCCAGAGGCTGCCTTATCAGTTCGTGTAGCAAATGATTAGAACAGTCTACCGGAGATCATTTCTGATGCACCGACGGAGGAAAGTTTCAAACGGCTGCTTGGCTGCCATCTGATGAGTACCGCAGAGCTCTGCTGCTCCTACTGCAACGACGACGATCCCCAGAGGAATATCGCTTCGCAGCCAGTTGCATCAAACCTGCACTGAATCGGAATCGACGGAGCTGACAACGGTCT